TGCAAAAGATTTATGGAATTCATTAGAAAATAAATATGCTACAGAAAATGCTAGAATCAAGAAATTTGTTGTGGGAAAGTTTTTAGATTTTAAAATGAATGATGTTAGAACTGTGGTTAGTCAAGTTGAAGAATTGCATATTATAATTCACGAAATTATTGCTGAAGGATATAAAATCTGTGAGGGCTATAATTGAAAAATTGCCACCTTCTTTGAAAGAGTATAAAAATAGTTTGAAGCATAAGAGAAAAGAAATGTCCTTAGAGGATCTGATTATTAGGATTAGAATTGAGGAGGACAATAGAATGACAGAACGTAAAGAAAGGCCATACTTTGATACCAAGGCTAATCTTATTGAAGGAAGTTCTGGCAGTAAGAAACCAATTCGAAATTTTACAAGGGGTCAGAATTTTAAAGGCAGAAATAAGGGAAATCAATTTGTAGGAAAGAACAATCGGTCTACACCCCAGTTTAAGAATAAAATTTTTGGTGACTGTTCTGTTTGTGGTAAACCAGGTCACCTTGCAAAGGATTGCAGAAATAGGAAAGGAAAAGCTGTGAAGCATCAAGCACATGTGGTAGAGGATGGGAATTTCTCTGCTATGGCGACAGAAGTGAATCTAGTAAGCAACATAACAGACTGGTGGGTAGATTCTGGAGCCACCAAGCATATTTGTTGCACGAGAGGTGCATTTTCTTCATTCAGTCCCGCTAGTGATGGAGAATGTCTGTTCATGAGGAATGCTTCCTCCTCCAAAATCGAGGGGAAAGGAACTGTGACGCTTAGATTTACTTCTGAAAATATCCTTAATTTGAAGAATGTTCTTTATGTACCTGATATTAGGAAAAATCTAGTGTCTGGATCTATCTTAGTCAAAAAGGATTTTAAGATTGTATTTGAAAGTGGTCAAATTGTACTGTCTAAGGGTGGTTCCTTTGTTGGGAAAGGGTATGCAGATGAGAGTCTGTTTAAACTCAATGTCTCTGTGATTAACAATAAAGCATCTAGCTCTTTCATTTACTTGTTGGATTCTTATGATTTGTGGCATGCTAGATTTGGACACGTTAATAAAACTTCCATTAAAAAATTAATGACTTTGGGAAACATTCCCAAAATCGATAATTATCCAAATTCAAAATGTGAAACGTGCGTTGAATCTAAATATTCTAGAAAACCATTTCCTCGCGTCGATAGGACTACTTTGGTTTTAAGTTTGATACATTCTGATTTATGTGACTTAAAATGATATGTTACTCGTGGTGAAAATAAATATTTCTTAACTTTCATTGATGATTATTCTCGATATTGTTATATTTATCTACTTAAGAGCAAGGATGGAAGCTATTCAAAATTTATGTCCTATAAAACTGAAGTAGAAAATCAGCTAGATAAAATTATTAAAGTTTTAAGATCTGATAGGGGAGGAGAATATACATGAGATTTTGATAGATTTTGTGTTGAGAATGGTATTATTCATGAGACTACTCTACCTTATTCTCCCCAATCTAATGGTGTAGCTGAAAGGAAAAATCGAACCCTTAAGGATATGGTCATATCAATGCTAAGTTCTTTTGGATTACCTTTTAACATGTGGGGGAAATCACTTTTTACTGCATGTTATATTCTTAACAGAATTTCTAGTAAGAAAAATAATAAGCCTCCTTATGAAATGTGGAAGGGTAGAACACCTTCATAAAAATATCTTAAAGTGTGGGGGTGTTTAACTAAAACTTCTATTCCAACACGTAAGAGAACTAAACTTGGTCCCAAAACTGTTGATTGTGTTTTTATAGGCTATGCTTTTTATAGTAATGCCTACAGATTTTTAGTTATTGACTCTAAAAATAATTTGATTGAAAAAAACACAATATTTGAAACTAGAGGTGCTGAATTTTTTGAGAATAGATTTCCGTTTAAAGAAAAGATTGAAGGACCAAGTAGTTCTTTTAGTATTCCTCCTAGTGTTAGAGAGGAGCCATTTGAATTAGAAGAAGCTGAAATTAGGAGAAGCAAAAGACCTAGGACCACTACTTCTTTCGGTCCTGACTTTATAACTTATTTAGTAGAGGATGATCCTAGTACTTTTGGTGAATCTATGCTTTCACCGGATTCTATATTTTGGAAGGAAGCTGTAAATAGTGAATATGATTCAATTATGTCTAATAATACTTGGGAGTTAGTGGACTTACCTCAAGGATGTAAGACACTTAGGTGTAGATGATTGTTTAAGAAAAAACTTAAACCTGATGGTTCAATTGATAAGTATAAAGCAAGACTTGTAGTTAAAGGTTATAAACAAAAAGAAGGAGTTGACTTCTTTGATACTTATTCACCCGTTACTAGGATTACCTCTATTACGATGTTAATTGCAATTGCCTCACTGTATGATCTTATTATACATCAAATGGATGTCAAGACTGCATTTTTAAATGGAGACTTAGAAGAGGAGATTTATATGGATCAGCCTGAAGGATTTGTCGTAGAAGGCCTTGAGGATAAAGTATGTAGACTTAAAAAATCCCTTTATGGCCTTAAACAAGCTCCTAAGCAATGGCACGAAAAATTTGATATAGTTTTGACATCAAGTGGTTATGTGATAAATGAAGCAGATAAATGCATATATAGCAAATTTGAAAATAATTGTGGTGTGATAATTTGCTTATATGTTGATGATATGCTGATTATGTGAACTAGTTTAGATGTGGTTAATAAAACTAAGCAGTTTCTGAACAAGCACTTTGAAATGAAAGATTTGGGTGTTGCTGATGTTATTCTAGGAATCAAAATAGTAAAACATTCTGAAGGAATTATTTTGACCCAATCACATTATGTAGAAAAGATGCTTAAAAAGTTTAATCAATACAACTGTATTCCTGCTAAAACACCTTATGATGCAAGCCATCATTTGAGAAAACATTCAGGTCCTAGTGTTTCCGCTTTTGAGTATGCTAAAGTAATCGGCAGTCTCATGTATCTCATGAACTGTGCAATACTTGATATAGCATATGTTGTCGGTAGACTTAGCAGGTATACTAGTAATCCTAACAATGAACATTGGGATGCTCTCATTCGAGTCTTGAGGTATTTGAGATACACTCTAGACCGGGGGATACATTATACCAGATTCCCTGCTATACTTGAGGGATATTGTGATGCTAATTGGATTTTCGATACCAGTGAAAGTAAATCTACAAGTGGATATGTATTTACATTAGCAGGCGGTGCTGTCTCCTGAAAATCCACTAAGCAAACCTGCATTGCTAGATCTACTATTGAATCTGAGTTCATAGCTTTAGATAAGGCAGGTGAGGAGGTTGAATGGTTAAGGAATTTTCTTATGGATGTTCCTTTGTGGTCTAAACCATTTCCAACTATTTCAATACATTGTGACAGTGAAGCAGCTATCTCAAGAGCTCAAAATTCATCCTACAATAGAAAGTCTAGACATATTCGTAGGAGGCACAATATTGTGCGTCAGCTGCTTAAGGATGTGATTATAGCTACTGACTATGTGAAGTCAAGTGATAACATTGCTGACCCATTAACCAAAGGATTGGCTAGAGAACTAATTCAACAAACATCGAAGGGGATGGGGCTAAAGCCTATTATTTATTAGATCACCTCTAATGGAGACCCAACCTTACAATTGGAGATCCCATGGTCAAGGTTCAATGGGACAACAAAGTTATTGGAGTGGTCTGTGGGGGTACTACATTGGATTTATTCCAAATCCCTTTCTATGATGCGTAGTACCAACTGTGTTGATTAGAGGATGAGCTAATGCTCTTAATGCTTACTATAGCTGATATTCAGTGGGGTGTTTAGATACAGTGCACCCTTGATAGTAGCACCTATTTGAGTGTGAAAGTGGGGGCACTTCCTATGAGAATTGAGGCGAATTCTCTAGAGCACTCAAAGAAACTGGGAAAGTTCACGGCTGAAATGAACACAATCGCGAGAACTCAATGACTGTTCTAAAAATCATGTGTGTGTTTTATTGTCTCAATTTGCAACTATAATTTTGGTGTCTTCCTAACAGTGCGGTGTCTCACTCTTCCTTCTTGCAGAACTCATCCAATTGTAGAGTTCAAGATATAGTTCACTCTACAGTTAGTAAGCTTGATAGAATATACAAAGTCAAGGTTCAAGTCGATAGACACTTAAGCCTGCATGATTTCTACCGTACTCCAGAGTAATATTTTCATTTATCTTATTTTTTTTTTATGTGGGGGATTGTTATATATTTATGGTATAAATATAAAATGTGAAAGAAATAATCAAATTAGATAAAGTGTCATAGTGGTGGGAAATGTGACATTTGTGTGAGAGACGTCAGGGGTTCGAGTCACTCCCCACGTAGATATTAAAATGTCTTGATTGGGCCTTGGGCTTCCTTGACTAAAATAAATGATTTTATTATTATTATTTAATGGGTAAAACTAGCCAGTATTTTCTAACTGTTTGTTTTGTAACAACCCACTAACAGTCATTAAAATGCCCACTGCTCAGTCATTAAAATTCTGAAATAATTTTTGATCATGGTGGAGACTATTACTTCCATCCTGCCTATATAAACTCATATCTTGTTTTGAGAAAAATACACACAAAAAAGAAAATAAAAAAAATCCTCTTGTATCAATCCTTCATTTTCATATTCTGAATTTTTTATACTCGAGTTTTTTTACATACATTCTGGAGTACAATTGAGAGTTCTAGAAAAATCATTCGTGATTACTGCACAAGTGGTTTACAATCATTGTATCCTGGGAGTTATTATACACGGAGGTCACGGCAATTATCGATGAGCAATTTCACTTTAGAATATCGTGCTATCACGAGACTCGATCGGACGATAAGTCTTATATTTCTGCATTTTGTTGTTCTGAACATTACTGTAACTAATTATTATTCTAACGCCAACTGCTCATCCTCGTCATATTTCACTGATAAGCCAACGATGAATTGCCAAGCCAGTTGCAGTCATGCAAGTTCCAACTGCTCATTGGACAATGGAAGCATAATGCCTAAATCCACTGTATACAAGGGTACTACTACCTTGCATAGAAATAGCCAAGCGGGACGGGAACCTTCTTTCTGCTAGTGGAAAAATGACATCATCGCAGGCAATTCTTGAAACTTCAGTGCTGGTTGTAGTGGGAACATCATGCTTGTTAGTTTGAATCGCATGTGCATCACAATTTAGCGTATCTCCCATCTGATTGAAATGAAGTGAGTCCTGGGAGCTCGAGAGATATGCAGAGTCAGATTGCTGATGCTGCTTCTTGCTGAGAAAACGACCACCAAAACCTCTAACTCTATTTAGTGCATGAAGATGCCAAGACTTGAGCAGATAGGGCTACATAATCAAATGCAAGAACGATAATTTCAACTTTAAAGGTTACATTTGATTAAAAAAATTATAATGCATTAGTGTTGGTAAGTCAGTGACAACTTAAAAGCAAGATAAGGATGTAGGTATGTAGAGTAGCAGTAAGAAAATATATTCATATCGACACATTAAAAAGTTAGATAAAAAATAAGTCATTTTACTCTGGTATGAATTATAGTTTATTATATGAATTATAGTTTATTAACTATTTCTATGGGCCAAGTATATTACTCTCAGTAATCTAAAATTTTGAACTTCAAATGATAATCTGAAGATATAATTATATTCTTTATTCAATCACTAGCCTACGAAAATCTCTCCCTTGCTTATGCAGTTCATCGTTTGAGTTATATAGCTATCCCTTCCCGACAATCTTTAAATTTGTTGCTTAAAGGACAAAATATAAAAAATGACCCATAAAAACCCTCCAACCTCGAACCAGAAATAAATTGGGACTAGAGGAAATTACACCACAACTAGAATTCAAAGATATCAATTCTAAAATAAGGTATAAAATATAATTGAGCATAAATCAGGTTTTAATCAAATTAATATTACTCTGCTCGTCTCTCACTCTCACTCTCTACCCTAATTTAATCCGACGACATTTCTCTACACCCATACTTTTGGTGCCATCTCTTGGACTTCCATTGGTTTTTCCCAACAAATTTGTTGTATTGAAGCACGGTAGAGTAGTCAATTGGTTGAGAGAAAGTCTAAATGCTCGAAAGGAAATATATCCCGAAAATTGGATAAATTGGCTGGTTAATTGGTTCAATTGATGGATTACCCACAGTATTATGGACCTCAATTGGATATTGTTGGGTAGAATTCATCATTTGTAATGCATTTAGTCCATCAATGGACTGATTGCCTGTTTTTGCAAAAACTGTTTGCGACTGTGAAATTTTTTATTCTGGTCATCGACGTGTGGGAGTGGTTTTGATGAATCAAGACCATGAAATCGGTCACCTTGGTAGGTAGAATTGGCTGGTGGTGGTCCTGGACCATGGGTGTTTTCGGAGTGGCAAGAATCTGGATGGAGGCTATGAGTTACTTGTTATCTTGAGGCCAGATTTTAGTTCGATTTGGTTGTTTGGATTGATGTTTGTAATGGGTTTGTATAGGTTGAAGAGGGGAATTTATTGGTGGTGGATTTCTGTGGCCATGGTAACCGGAAGTTGGTGTTTGTAATGGATTTTTAGATGGTTTTGGCGTTGGTGACTTACTTGGTTGTTGCGTTGTTAGTGGTTGTGGTGGTAGTACAATATTGGTGGTTGGGGTGGAGTGTTGCAGTGATAGCTATAGTGGAATGTTGGTGATGGATCAATGTCTACAGGTGGTGATGGTGGCAGTGTATATGTCACAATTGATTGAGTTTCTGTGACCAAAATCTCTTAAATATGTGATCTATCAAAATGTATGGGTCACATGTCAAAGTACATAGGTCACAGATCGATTCAAGAGGTTTGGTTACAGAACATTGGACCATATCACAGTCACATGTAACAGAATACATCTCAAAGTGCATAGGTCCTAGGTCACAGATTCAAAAGATTTGGTCACGAACCAAAGAGGTTTGTTCACAAGCCATTGAATCAAATCATAGGTCACTTGCCAAGTGCACAGTTCATAGTCACGATACAAGAGATCTGGTCACAGATCATTACTTCAGGCCACATGTCACAGATTCAAGAGATTTGGCCACAGACCGTTGGATCAGGTCACAGACATCTATGTTAAAGTGCATAGGTCAAATGTCACAAATTCAAGAGATTTGATTACATGCCATTGATTTCTCTAACCTCAGTTATCTTAACCGGTCGCAAATTCATTTAACCAAATCTTGACAATGAGAATCGAAGTTTTTTACTTCTATAAGTATTCTGTAAGTTACACAAGTCGATGTTCTCCAACGATCATTATATTTTTCTGTCTATCTCTACTTTCTGAGCCAAAGATGCTCATGTTTGTCGTTGAAGAAGTAATTGACGGATGGATGTCGACAACTGGTGTGCGAGGGTAGGTAGGTTAGGTATGGGATTTGAGGTGGCGACGATCATGTTCGTTGCTGAAGAAGTTATCAGCACGTGGATGCCGATGACTGGTGTGCAAGGATAGGTGGGATAGGTGTGGGTAAATTAATTTAATTTGATAATATTATTGTTTAAAATTAAAAATAAAATTAACACCTGACTTTTGCCTTTTGAAAACTTAATATCTGGAAATTGATTTGATGCATTTGTAATACCTGACTTATATTTTTTCCCTTGGGACTATTTTTCGTCTCACTTGTTGGGTTTTTGATACCCAATAAATCCCAAGTCATGATGTTAACGTGGATTAGTTATTTCATAGACATAGGTCTATTAATGAAATAAGTCCAGCAACTAAGTCCATGAGCTCCACTCAACCCAATTGTATTCCCTCTCGGACGGCTTGAATCTTAGGCCGTTTAAGTCTCTTAGAGGTTCAATTTAAGGCCTAACTCTAGACTACACATAAGACAATAACCCTAGCCACTTAACCCTAGCCACTTTCATGTATGGTTTGTGTGGTTTCGTGAGAAAAATAGGAGAATCTCGGTTGCCCCCTTTGGTGTGTGAAAAATAGCCCCAGAAGTGTCCAAAACGCTTGTTTAGTTCGTGTAATTGGTAGTTCCTTCATATCTTACCTTTGTGGGGTCTTTTCCTAGCCTTTGTGGCCACAAATCATCACCTTTTTTGGTCATACGTGGGTAAGATTGAATAGCAATCGAGGTGAATTATATTGGTTATGGTTTGAAGTCGGTTGGATTGATTGTTGGTAGAGAAAGGTAGGGGTTGAGCTCGAAAAGTATCGAATTGAAGGTCCTTGGAGAGAGCTTCTGCAACATTTTGTATCAGAGCTTCAAGGTGGTGGTTTTGGCTCATAAAATATAGCAAAAAAGTCCAGGAGACCAGGTGGAACGAAGTAGAAACAGTTCGAAGAAGCTGTTCAAAAAACTACCCAAAATCCGAACTTGTTTTCGTGTTTTCTAACCAATCCAAAAGGAGTTTTTGGAAACAAAGACCACTGGTGTGACGTACAGGTGGTGATGGTGGCGGCGCCAGACATCCAGCGTGTGTGTGCGAATCTCAAGACGGTCTCTACAGGCAATTTGTTCTTAATGATGTTTCTAACATTTTTTGTGTTGAAAGTTCTCTTTTTTAGGGTGTGCAGTAGAATCTGGACAGAGTTGTTTTTCGGACATTCGGGACTCGATCGCGATTTGTTTGTTGCTGCTGTTTACAGAGACTTTAGGACAAATAGTAGTGGTCCTAAAGTGATAAATTCGCGTGTCTCATGATTTATGAACTCAGTTCGGTCCGCTCTGGTATATTGGCTTATCTCAGTTTAAATTTCAACATTGGGGCATCATCGTGTGGGGGTGACTCTAGGTTTGTGGTTACCGTGAAAGTATAACATTACTTGTGCTAGAATTTAGGAGATATTTGTCATATTTGAAGTGTTGGATTTAATTGCAAGTTAATAATTGTTACTGTGTTTAAAGGGTGTTTGAGAGTAATTTTTCACCTCAAAAAATTGATTTTTTGACATTATTTCACTATTCCAACCGTAAAGTTTGATTTCATCTCTCACAAATGGCCCCCACTTTTCTTCTAACGATCAAAAAATCAATTCTCAAAATCGCTTCCAAACGGGGCCTTAATTTACTGCATTGCGTGAGAATTCAAACTTTTGTTTATATACCTTCGTGTTTACATTAATTATCCCACTAGAACACTTGGACTTGACCCATTCGAGCATTCCCTTAATCTAAAATCGTGAATCTTACGAAACCCTGTGAATCTAGAACGGTGTATATTGTGGCTTTAGAATTACTTTGTGTGATCTATCTGTGCATTTGGTTGTTCTGCTTTTTCTCAAAATGTCTTCACACTTTGAAGTTAAAATTTTTAATGGGAAATGAGATTTTTCAATTTGGCAATAAAAGATGAAGGGTATTTTGGTCCAACAAAAAGTTTCAAAAATCATAGATTGTAAATTTTCTGCATACTTAACGAAAGCACAAAACGAAGAGTATGTAAACTTGCACACACTTCAATTATTTTACACTTGCCTAATACTGTTTTGAGAAAAGTAGGAAAATTTAATTCTACAAAAGAACTTTGGAAAAAGTTGGAGGACTTATATTTGCTTAAATCCACTCCTAATAAGCTGTACTTGCTTGAACGATTTTTTAGCTTTAAAGTGGACCCTTCAAATGATTTTGATGACAATTTGATATCTTTAACAAGTTAGTTGAAGATATCGTTAATTGTGATAAAAAGGTATTTGAAATATATAAGGCTATTACCTTGCTTAATTCCATGTCTGATTCATATAGGAAAGTTAAGAATGTAATTAAGTACGATAGGGACACCTTAACACTCGAGATTATCATAGACTCACTTAGGATTAAGAAGATAGAGATTAAGGCTGAAAAAGAGGATAAGAGGAGTGACGAGTTACATATGATGAGGAGTATGATGAAATTTAAGCAAATACATTTAGGTAGAACTCAAGACAGTAGTGATTCGAGTAATGACTTGAATGATGAGGGTAGTAAGACGGGCAAGGGATGAGACAAGTCTAGTGGTAAACAGTGTTACAGTTGTGGTAAGTCTGGACACTTTATTAGGGACTGTCCCAAGAAGAAGAATAAGCTGAAGTGTAAGATAAAAGGCGAGGAATTTGGCTTTAGGATAGAGTGACGATCCTAGTGAGGTTTATTGAGAGTAAACCTAGTTACTACATGTGCATATGTATGTGATCCTTTCTGCATGTGTGTGTTTGCCTAATTTGTTGCATGATGATATGCTGCATTTCAATGTGTTTAATATGTACATTTGCATAAATTTGAGACAATATGATTACTTGGTGTAATTGCTTGCATCCATAGTAGGTTAGGATACATCTGCAGTGTGTTTGATATCTTTTGGTGATGTGGATTATAGATGCCTAGGGATATATTGTAGTTTGTATCGGGGACGTAGAGTGCGACATTTGGATCACGAGTGGAGATGTAACTAAATTTCTAGAATCATTTATCTGTAAAGAGACTCTAATCAAGTGAAGTGTGTGAGGGAGGCACTTCTATCACTTTTGTTAGGTGGAGACCTATTATCCACGTAGTTTGGGAGAAGTGATATGGAGATAGAGGATTATCCTGTAGACTTAGGATCCATTGTGACCTACCACTTAGACATGAGTGATCAATCTGGTGAGCATGGTAGGCAATGAGAGGAGATATGTGTTCTTGAGGTGTGAGCAACACGGAATGAGATAGGATAAGTGTAGTAAGATCTTTTCGTAGGGTCATTTATGCATTTATTATATATGTGTTGGCCGTGTGTTTGATTATTCTATGTGAACGAGTTTCTGAAAGGATCTATATGTGTTATCCTATAATATATCATCATCGCATATGTATTTGCTCTTGATTGTTACTGTTAAATATTTGTTTCTACTTAGGTGTTCTTGACCTTAGCCTCAGTGAGTACATAGAGCAAGTATGGTTTGTGTTTCAGGTTGAAAATACGAGCTAAGGTTTGTGATCTAATTTTATTAGCTACCTTGATTATACAAGTGCTAACTGAGTGTTTTGATTGCTTACAAATTTATTGGGTATCAAGCTGGAGATTTGTTGGGTTTTTGATACTCAATAAACCTCGTGCTATAATGTCAACGTGGGTTAATTATTTCATGGGCATATGCCGATGAATGAAATAAGTCCAATAACCAAGTCCATTAGCTTCAACTGGCCCAATTGTATTCCCTCTTGAATGACTTGAATCTTGGCTCGTTTAAGTCCATTAGAAGTCCAACTTAAAGCCTAATCCTAGACTACATATAAGGCAATAACCCTAACCACTTTCATGTATGATTTGTGTGGTTTTGTAAGAAAAATAGGACAATCCCAGTTGCCCCCTTTGGTGTGTGAAAAACACCCCTTAAAAGTGTCTAAAATGCTTGTTTACTTTGTGTAATTGGTGGTTCCTTCATAGCCTACCTTTGTGGTGTCTTCTCCTAGTGGCCACAAATCATCACATTTTCTTGTCCTACATGGATAAGATTGAATAGTAAACGAGGTAAATTATATTGGTTGTGGTTTGGAGCCGGTTGGATTGATTGTTGGTAGAAAAATGTACGTTGGATTGAGCTCGAAAAACATCAAATTGAAGATCCTTGGAGAGAGCTTCCGCAACATCACCCCATACCATCTTTCAAGTAGAGAATTATCTATTTCTCATTTTATCAATTGAAGTTTAAAAAATGTACACATAAAAACAAATTGAACCCCAACAAAAGGGAGAAATCAAAACAATCTTAAAGCGCTTTGAATACCTTGCTACCATTTGATATTTCCGTGTCAGAAAAAGTAACTTTTAAATGTAAGTATATATATCCAAACAAATAATCGAGGTGAGACTCACAACTACTCACTTTCCTAGTTTTGACGAGCTTGTTTTGAGCCTCAAGCTTTGAACATGTCTTTCTCCTCTTGAGTATTCCATGATAGTGTTTTGCATTGACATACATAGGACCATCCTCAGACAGATTAATGGGTAGTGGGACCCGAGCACAAGATGCCCCCATCATATGTGGTAGAACCTGAAGAAGAAATTTCAAGTCAACAACAATTTTAAAAAAGTATTAATTGAAATAAATAAACAGGGGATATTTATTGTTTAGTTATAGGAAATAACTAAATGTGTAGACAAAATAGATCACTTTAAAGAGATGAAAATCAAAAGCCACATAAGCCCTCTAATTTTCCATGACCAACAGACCGAAGATCATTTAGCGAAGTGGCATATTTCAATTTCCTTTTAGGCAAGTTGAGGATTTATAATAAATCAAAAAGGACGATTAGGAAACCACATGCAGCACAAAGTCTAAGAATATAGAATAAGACCACGAGCAAAATATCGCGGATGCTCAATAGCATTCCTAATGCAGCGAAAGAAGGCTGTAGGAATATTACACGTACAAAAAAAATGACATAAGTTAACATTTCAAACATTCGAATTGTGAGAATGACTTACCAGAGTATGAAGTCTGTATGCAGTAAATAACCCACCCTGTTTGAGCCCCATTATTTCTCATTACATTAAATTAAAATTTTCTCTCTCCTACTTTTAACCACACAATCTCCAATAAAATAATATTACACGTAAATCAAAAACTTTTCAACCACTCATTTTTAAAAAAAAAATACTATTCATCTCATTATAATCTACAAATAATGGGGCTCAAACGGCCCCTTATGTAGGTATCAGAATGAGCACATGGAATCTACATCTATAGTGGGATGATATGAATAAAAATCAGTTCCAAATTACTTCAACTAAGCCTTCTCTCGTACTTGATAAAAATTGCTTCCAATTAAAATAAAAGAATTTTAATGTGGAGCATGAACTTACCATTGATCGGCATATTTCGGACTGTGCACTAATGGAAAAATTTGGATTGCTGAAAAACAAAGCAGGTTTTGGGTCTTGTGCATGATTCACGTAGCTTTCACTTTGTACTATATCAATTGAAAGGAAAACAGTTTCATTACATAGTACACCGTCATTAGAGAGGAGAAATAGAAGATGATAATTAAGAATAAGAATAATAATCCATCATGGATGTTACAATACAACACAAAAGAATCCACTGTTTGACAACTTATGCCTCCAACAACCAAAATGGAAGTCAAAACAAGCCGAATATAGGCATCTCACAAAAATGTGATTATACTATGTACAATGAAATAGCGCACATCTATTCCAACCATCGTATAGGAGGGTTCTATAACAAAAATAAGTAGAAAGTACAAATATTGGAGGGGGCATTAGACCTAATCTCTAAACAATGAGGAAAAGATGATAGCTTAACCAATATACGAAATTGAAGAAAGCATTTCGAATCTAAACTTCATGTGCCTTCATCACGCATCATGTAGGTGTAAGGATTTTTTTAATCAATCGATAGACTTATATGTGTGAATTGTTGTTTATTAAATTAAAGGCTATCGAATTCGGTTGAGCCCATTCAAAGTGATCTAATAAGGCTTCGATTTTGAGCTGTTATGCATCCAATTAAAGTGTGGGTTCTATATGTGTAGAGACCGAGCCCGGACTCCTAGTTCTATGATGGGCTAAATTAGGTCAAATGGTATCAGTATATATAAATGGTTATGGTCCCCGAATCACACATAGAGAGAGTAATGTATTGTTCATTATATTCTGCATCTTATCACAGAGAAAAAATGAGACTACGTGTTGATTTGAAAGACTAAGTTGTAGGATTCGATTATTGTATTAACCATTCTGATTTAGGTACGCTTCCGCTATAAATTTTGAATTTCTTGATGATCTAACATGAAAGATCCAATGAATTTTGAGGTAATAATTTCTCCTACAAGTGGTATCAAAACCTTTTCATTTTGAATCATTGAGAATCGAATAATTTATTTGGTTCTTGCAATATTTTATGGAATTTTCAGATTTGACAATTTTTTAGGATTTATATTTTGTTGAATTTGAAAACTTTTGCTGTATAACTTTTGTTATTTTCATAATTCGAATTAATAGATGAGGAACATCGCACGATTGCTGCAGGCTGCAACGTAGCAGCGTCAGTGCTGTGTGCGACAGCATCGACGTTGCTGGGTGGAGACACCGGAGTGGCGAGCGCTCCTTATCTAGCATCAGGCGGTGTTAGAGCTAAGGGAGAAATCAGAGAAACTGTTAGGATTTTCAAATTTTGCAAGATTTGGGGACGGAGGCCTCATGTGTAAATTGGATTACTTGAGGCCCCTACTTGCAATAAGGGTTAGGATTTTAATTTTAAAATTTAAGTCCCTAACATTTTAAAGTTCATTCAAATTGGGCCATTAGGTTTTGGATTTAATAATTCAATCTTTAAAGTTTAAAAAATTAATTTATTCGGGCCATTAAAGTTCTTAATTTTATAATTAAAGCCCTCAAACTTTAATAATTAATTTAAATTAATCCCCTAAAGTTTCAAATTTTCAAAATTTGATTCCTAAAGTTTTGAATTGGTCAATTTTGGCCCCTAAAGTTTTGAATTAATTAATTTTGTACCCTTAAAGTCTTGAATTATTAACCCTAAGGCCCCTAAAGTTTAAAACTAAATCATATATGCAAAATTGGTGATTCTCTTTTTCAAATTTTGGTACTAAGGACTCTTACAAGAAATATAATGTTCGAAAATTAGTTAATTGAAGCAACATATTGTCAAAGCAACCTCTCTTGTGGAAATTGATTAACTTAGATTATTAAAAGGTGTTTGTGTGTGTGTGTTATTCAAGCGAATATTGATCGGCCCAAAGGAAGGTTAATATTTGGTCGAATTTCATATGCACATGTGGTGATAAACATGTGATGATTATTTGGTTTAACTTGTAATCAATAAATCAGTCCAAATAAAGGTTTATTGATTGACAGATTGTTTTATTGTCAATGTTTGATCACTACGCCAAGAGTACCACTTATAAGTTAATATTTCTATCTAAAGATTAGATATTGATGTTATGCTGGGTATCTTGTGATGGGCCCTTCCATTATTTGAGATTACTATTATTTGCATAATAAAGATATTCACGTGAGTTATTCGTAATAATTGTTCTCTAATTTAGTTTCAAGTTCTGCTACTAATATCTCTATTAGCATTAATTCAATTCCAATCCTTAATGGCACGAACTTCAAGGTACGATAAGAGAATGTAATGATTATTCTTAGAGTCATGGACCTAGACCTTGCTTTACAGGTCGATTAACCTACTAAACTTACTAATGAGAGTACGTCTGATGACAAGAATGAGATGGAAAAGTGGGAAAGATCGAACCGCATAAACTTAATGGTTATGAAACATGCTATTCAAGAATCATTTCAGGGCACTATGTCTAATGAAGTAAACACGGCTAAGGTTTTCTTTAAGGATCTTGAGAAGGGATTTGCTAAGAATGAAAATGCTGAAACTAGTACAGTTTTGGTAAACCTTACTTCAATGAGGTATAACGGAAAAGGAAAAATTGATAAGGAAACTGCGAGTACAGCACCGCAAAAGAAACATTATAAGGAACAAATTGAGGGTGGTTGTTTCTTCTATGGAGCTGCAAGTCATAAGAAGAATTGTACCAATTATCACGCATGACGTGTGAAGAAACTTTGGTATCTAGACACACATGGTGGATAGATTCTAGTGTAACAACTCACATCAGTGTGTCTATGCAAGGTTGCCTGAGTTGCCAAGATCAAGTGATGATGAAAGATACATCTATGTTAGTGATGGTAAGACGGTGGAAGTAAAGGCAATAGGAAAATTTAGATTATTGTTAAGGACTGGATTATATTTGGATCTTGATGAAACATTTATTACACTGTCTTTTAGACGGAATTTCATTTCCATTTCTGTTTTGGACAAATTTGATTATTCTTATTCATTTGGGAATGGAAAATTCAATTTGTTTCACGATTCAAACTTTGTTGGTTCCGGTTCTTTATCAGATTACGATAATTTTTATTTAATTGATATAATTACTTCTTTTAATGAACCCTTGCATGTAAGTACTTGAGGTGTAAAGCGAAAATTAGTCAACGCGAATTCTACCTCGTTGTGGCACAAGAGATTAGATCACATCTCCAAGAGGAGAATTGAGAGACTTGTGTCTGATGGGATTCTCGACCCTCTTAACTTCACAGATTATGATTTATGTGTTAACTGTAAAACAAACAAATAAAAGGAAATTTCAAGCCAACAGGACTTTGGACGTCTTAGAACTTATGCATACAGATATTTGTGAACCATTCCCTACGGGTTCTTGAAATGGTCAACAATATTTTATAACATTCATAGACAACTTTTCAAGACATGGCTACATATATCTCATTCATGAAAAATCAGTCTCTGAATGTGTTCAAAAACTTTAAAGCTAAAGTTGAGAACCAACTTGACAAAATGATTAAAATCGTCAGATCTGACCGTAGGGTGAATATTGTGGCAGATATGATGGTTCAGGTGAACAACGTCCAGGACCATTTGCTAAATTTCTAGAGGAATGCGGTATCGTCCTACAGTACACTATACCGGATTCGCCCCTATTAATGGTGTTGCTGAGAGACGAAACAAAATGCTTAAGGGCATGGTAAGGAGTATGATTAGTCATTCTACCTTACCACAATTTCTTTGGGGTAAAGCATTAAAGACAATATTTTTAGTGTTGGTATAAATACTTTCTCATATTAATTGTAAGAACAACTTTTGACATTATTGAGAATTAATTTAAGAGGCAATTTTTGCTTTCCAATCTTTGTTTTTCTTAGAACAATTTTCGAACTTATCAAAGGGCTTCCTTGTGGTGTTCAAAATTGTGGTGTGAGTCTTTGGTTGCGTAATCAAGAGGTCCTTCATATTACTATTATTGTGGAGTTGCTTAGTTAGTCATCTTGGGATTCAAATCCATAAACCGGGTTAATTCTTGGCTTTCCTTGGGTTCAACAATCTTTTGTGGGTTCGTTAGTGATCATGCTAACCAGGTTCACATCATAATCTATCTCCATTTTTCTTATAACTACAGCACTAGATGTAGTGATATTTGGAGAAAGAAAGAAAGGAAAAAGATGCGAATGATGTTAAAAAGGATTTGTCAGGGCTAGTTTAGATGTTGCGATTCATGGGGGGTTCAAAGGAATTTTGGAATGCTTGATATCAGTTAAGAATCTCCATTCCTGGCACTGTTTAAACAACCTATTATAGGTTAGAATTCATTGAATTATAGTGTAGTTTGGAAATAATCTATGAACAATTGCAAATCTTTGGAGAAAAGAACTTACATGAGCGGCTTTAGAAAAATAAGTAAAGGAACATGCGCATCAAGTTAGCACAGCCATGTAGAATATTCTGTTAAATAATGGATGGCATACTGGGTGATGTAACTAAAACGTTTTAGAAAGTGAGAATTTTGAAACAAAATGAAGTTCGTTGACAACGTGATAAATCTCCTCCATAGTCCATACTTCATACTATAAGTTTGTATAGGCCCTGTTTGAGCCCCATTAATTTCTTGTAATATATTGTGGAATAG